ACATGAGAAATAGTTGAGACTATTAAGCACATTCTTTTGTGAAAAGGAGCTTTTTGATCCTTAGATAATATTCTTCATGATGTTCTTTTAAATTTCTAGGTTTTGTGAGAGTTAAAGAAATTGTGCTGGATGAAATGGTCCACCTGGAGGCAGAATCAACTCCTGTCTCGTCACTTCTTATGCCATCTGGACATCTCCCTTTTGTTTCCCTGTTAGTACATACTATTTTACACATATGTCTACGTCATAGGAACAGTTTTGGGGAGAACATCTTTGAATTGTATTCTGCTTTTTCTGTTTCCTGGTCTCCTAGGGACTGGTATGTCTCTTCACGGTCATAAATATGGTCACAATATAAGCAAAAATGGTTGTAAAAATGACAGAATTCTAAAGGTAACAAACGATTGCTTCCATCAGAGGGATCTGTCCAAGCAGATGGGGCAGAACGTGAAAAAGGATGGAGGTTGGCCTGTACCCTGTCCTTGTCCACAGAACTCTGACTAAGCCGGGTTCTTTCCACAGCAAAGTTCCCTATAGTTTGACAACTTTTGGAAAAGTAGCCTTTTGCCAAATACATATGTGTGAACACATATTTTCAATTCCAGAAGGTAAGTAGGCCTAGAAGGATCTGCACTAATACTTACCATGATACCTGCTTAGCTTTAAACCCATAAATCCTTTGTATCCATTAGAGAATCCTCTGACTGTGTTGAATTAATTATGACCCTGGTGAAATATATATACAAATGTCTTAAAACTTGAATAAGAGCTAAGGAAGAAACTTTCAGTTCCTAGGTCCTAAGCCACACATTTTGTGTTACATTAGGGATCACATGAGGAAATCAGTGTGAATTGAATGAGTAACTGCAGTGCCTGCTCATCTTTTGGATCAAGTGATCCAAACATGTATGTTAGATTGCCAAAAAGGGGTCTATCATGGCCAGAACACTGTAAACACTGGTGCTGTCATAACGCAGGTCTGCTGCCCAGAAGGACCTGGAATAAGGACTAACTAAGCCTGAACCCCGAACAATTTCTCCTTATCTCTCTGTCTCTTTGAAAAGAAAGAGAACTTCAGCCTCCGAATGTTTCTTCAGGATTAGGCAAGGGGAACTATCCCAAGTGGTTAAATTAGTACAATCAGAAGCAAAAGCATTAGTGCCTCTGTGAAGCATCTGAAAATCAAAATTTTTAAATTAGAATACTCCTATGTGTTAGTAGTAATTTGCTGAAGTGTCTCACAACCTGAAATGTTGTATTCCAAGATCACATTAAAAACATTGACCTTGAGAATCTATACAATATGTTCAATCAAACAGAATACATAGGTTAAGAATGTATAGAATATTTCATCTCAATAAAGATGAAAGTAAAGATGTTTTGAAGTAAGGAGTAATCTCCACCCAAACCCCCCAATACACACAGTGGAGCAAGGGTAGAGTTAAAAAACAAAACAAAACAAAACAAAAAACATGATGACTCAACTGGGTAATCTCCGGCTGCAAGTGCCTGCATCCCATGCGAGAGCCAGTTTGTGACTCAACTGCTTCACTTCCCATCCAGGTCTCTGCTATGTTGTGGGAAGGCAGTGGAGGTGGCCCAAGTCCATAGAACCCTGCACCCACATGGGTGACCTGGAAGAAGCTCCCAGCTCCTGGGTTCAGATTAGCTCAACTCTGGTTGCTGCAGCCATTTAGGGAGGGAACCAGTGAATGAAAGATCTTTCTCTTTGTTTTTCCTTCTCCCTGTAAAATCTGCCTTTCCAATGGAAACAAATAAATAAATCTTCAAAACAAAAGAGCAAAGAGATCCATAAAATATGTAGGATTTATACACATAAATATTAGACACTTTAAAATGAAGATACTTTACATGGAATGTGACATCATTTGGCCAAATTACAGGAAAGGAGGTTTTGATAACCAAATATTCTGATGTTACTGCAAGAATTAATATGCAATAAAATACATTTCACATAAATGTATTGTTAACATTTCAGATTGTAGCCTACCAGCATTCTTAAGTTATTGTTATGAAAAAGAACCTTACTTTCTGCAACATTAAAGGAAATTTAATGAACATATTGCTTAGGCACATATAAACAGATTCTAATGTTATAAATATGTTTTGTTGGGCTGCAAGTGCATGTCTAGCAAACATCTCCAGTTAAGAAATTTCCCAACAAACGTTTTGATCTGTAACGTAGTAAATAACCTTTGTACATCAGCAAACCCCCCTTAAAAGCATTAAAAGCTATTAAGGCCAATGCTGTTGCTCAGTGGGCAACACCAGGATCCTATAGGCGTGCCACTATGAGTTCTGGCTGGTTTACTTCTGATCCAGTTGTCTGCTAATGTGCCTGGGAAAGCAGCAAAGAAAGCCTCAAGTGCTGGAGCCCATAAATCCGCATGGGAAACCAGTATGAATGTCCTAGCTCCCGATTTCTGCCTGACCTAGCCCTGGCTGTAGTATTTACCTGGGGCATGAAGTAGTGGATAGCAAGCCTCCCTCTCTGTCTCTCTCCTATCTATAACTTTACCTATTAAATAAACAAATAAGTAAATAAAGCTCTAAAAAAAAAAAGAGAGAGTTCTCATCAGTAGCCATCACAGTAAGATATCATCTCATATCAAACAAAACAAAATAAAACTAAAACAAAATGTTGGTGAGGGTTTTGACAAAAGCAAACTGTTAAACTTCATTGGTGGGAATGCAAATTGGTATAGTGATTATGGAGAACTCTGTGGAAAAAATAATAATAATAATAAAAAGCAGTCATTAGAAAAGGAAAAGAAATACTTCATTTCCATGGTCATTCTACATTCATGTAAGTATGACAACTTCATATTGGCTCTTGCAAATGCTTCTGAACTGATGAGCCATTTTATTATTTTTTTCATTTAGAATGATTTTTAAAATATTTTTATTTTGAATTTTTGAATTATGTGGTACATTTTTGTATAGGCTGGGATTCCCCCCCAAACTCCCACCCCCTGTCAGATTTTTTTCCATTTAGTTACAGTAGTGTAGTCCTTCATAGGGAATCATAATTCTATCAGTCTCTTATTTAAGTGTACCACGACATTGTTGATACAGATAATGTCAGGCAGTCCAGCATCCCATTGTTTACACATGCCCAACAGTTTCACTGGGAGTCCACTTTTCATCTGGATGCAGAGATGCATGTTCCGTTATACCCCCATGTCAATATATGATAGACCCCAGTACTCCGTTACTATACACTACCATAAGTGAGAAGCCATGAAACAAGGTCAACAACTGGTATGAGTTAGAACAGCCACTTCATTTCCATGGTCATTCTACATTCATGTAAGTATGACAACTTCATATTGGCGTTGTAAATGCTTCTGAATTGATGAGCCATTTTCTATTATGTGCTTCTGCTGGTACTGTCCTGAGGTTCCCCAGTAGAGTAGTGTGCACATGTGACCAAAAGCCCATTAGAACTGGAATTAAATTCATTTTAATCTCTTTGTGAATAGGATGCTTTGTTTTCTAGCAGCTATTTCTTTGAATTTGAATTTTTATACTCTTTTCCTCAGTTTTATGTCTCATGTATTTAATGAGTGCATTTAAAATTTGTATGAGAAACACTTCAGGTCACGTGGGGATAAAAAAATAAATATTATGACCCGCTCTTTCACAGAGGAGGCCTCTAGGTTAGATAGAGAGACCAAACACCTGTTAATAACTATGTCATACAAAGCAGACAGCAGCAAATACAGATTTGGGAGTGATGACCTAGGTATACAAGAATATGCTGAGCTTAAGATCTTGATGGAACACCAAGAAAAATGTTTCGTGGATGGTAGCAATAACTGGATTGAATTTTCAGGCAATAATAGGGCTGAGTACAAATTATGGGGGGTAGAGAAATGGTAAGGGAAATTCTAAGATAAGACGAGAACAGAATTTTTCAGTCATAACACCACTGAAGTTTTGAGTCAGATAAGTCATTGTCTGGGTTTATCCTGTGTGTTGCAGGTTGGATTGCAGCATCCCTGACTTCTGTTTCCTATTTGTTAGTAGCATCTTTTCCCAGCAGTGAGTGTCACGGATGTGTTTGGACTTTGTCAATGATTCTTAGGGGCAAAACCGCCACTAGTTAAAAACAGCTGGATTGTAAAGATGGAGTGATGGTGTAAAACCTTTTTTAAAAAAGGTCGTAAAAGACATTTGGTAAAATAAGTCTACTGTGTTGGAGAAAGAAGAAAGATAATATAGAGAAAAAACACTCATCAACATAGCAAGTGTTTTTCTAAAGCCTTGGTAGGATCAGGGAAGGGGAAGAAGCAGCAGAGTTTTGTGAATGAAGCTTAGTCTTGGTGAATGACTAGTAGGTGCAAAAAGCATACACCTAAAGACATGAACACCTCCCCTTTACACACTGCCAGATCACATGCATACATACATCAAAAGAATATGGAAAAGTTTTCCTGGACCTCTTCTATGTTCTCAGTTAATAAAGCAGTCTAGTTTGACCAAATATTACAAACCTCACAGCAATTCTTTCTGAAAAGAAGTTTAAGTCAGAAGCTGTATTACTGGAACTGCAATTGTTCTATTCTGTCTTTCTGTGTTACACACGTACTTTGCAACTTGGCTTTCCAGTAGCGATTTCAGAAAATTTAGATGAATTCAGTTACATGTGATTGTCAAGGATTGTAAAAATGAATACCCTACATCATTTATACGTCTTAGTGAGAAAATTCCTTATTTTATCTAGGCCAAAGAAGTACAATCTAAATCTCAAATTTTGTAAATTCTAGAGTCAGCAACCTCTGATATAGAGTTTCTCTTTATTCCCAAAAGTTGAGAAATGAATCCCTTTGCTGTTTTCTATATCTGTGGAAAGCTGAATCCATTGTTTCTACTTCAGAGTCAGTCTCACCCATTGGAAAGTCCATCCCCCACATTTGGGGAAGAGGGCATTCAATGTTTTCTACCAGCAAAGGATCCTGCTGAGTGGGGAGCACTGACTAAGCATGTGCAGGAAACATGCTTAAGTTGGAAGAGTCAGGGCAGAAGATCATTCCTGTGATGATCATCTTTAATGCCTTGCGAAACCAAGGATAAAACATGCCATATATAATGGGATTGAAAGTGGAATTAAAATAACCCAACCACAGGAAGACATTGTACACATCTTCAGGAGTTGTAAAATTAATATAAGGATCAGTGATGGTCAACACAAAAAAGGGCAGCCAGCACAACACAAATACTCCCATAACAATACTTAACGTCTTGGTGGCCTTTGTTTCTTTTTTGGATGATGCCTTCTTGTTGATTTCTGACCCAGCCCCTTTTGTCCTAGGGCCTGTGCCAATTTGCTTAGCATGCTTCCTGGCTACTGTGAAGATATGTATATAAATTCCCACCATGACTGTTCCAGGGATAAAGAAAGCTATAAAGGAGGCCAGCACCCCCCAGAGCTTGTTGAAGATCAGTACACACAAACCTGTGCAGTCAATGGCAGAAACAAAATCTTCTGCACCAAAGAGATTTAATTCTGAGATACCAGACCAAAGGCAAATAAAATGGGAATGGACCAGCTGATGAGCAGAAAAACCTCTATAACAGGGATGGTAATTTTGGTGACATAATGCAAAGGGTCGCAAACAGCGTAGTAACGGTCCACTGAGATGAAACAGAGGTGGAAAATGGAGGTGGTGCAGAGCATAATGTCACAGCAACTATGCACTTTACAAAAGAGATCTCCAAAGTACCAACAGGACTCAATGGACCTGATCATACTGAAGGGCATGACCACACAGCTCAGCAGGAAATCAGTGGTGGCCATGGAGAGAATCAGAAAGTTGGTTGGGGAGTGGAGCTGCTTGAAATGAGCAATGGAAATGATCACAACCATGTTGCCCAGCATAGTCATTACAATAGCACCAATCATGACCACATACATAATGCAGGCAGTCAGCAAGGGCCTCACATGTCTAGGACATGAGTTGTTAACTGAAGGAAAGCAAAATTGTGCTTCCACTGGGTTCCAATTTGGTGAATTCATTGTCTTTGTTCTGCGAATATTTTGTATTATGAGTCTTTTTATAAAATCCTGTATTTCTCTTCCTTCTATGAAAAAACAACAAATAATAATAATAATTGTTAGCAGTGATACATTTTACTGAGACCTCACAACACAACATTGTTAACGCAAGCAGGAGCTCCCTGTTGACTGGGATTACTATTTTTAAACCTTCGTATATGGGGTGTCTTTATAAACCCAGATCCAGACACTAGGGTAATGGCTGAGAGTCTGCCTTTCTCATCCACTTTCAGATGTCAACTCTGTTAACACAAAGAATTCCCCTTCAATAGGAAGGAGCTAAATCAGATGGAATTGACATCCAGTCACTCACCATCCAAATAACACTTGTGGGTGCATATTCTGATTGCATTAACCTGTAGTTTTTACTCGAGATTCAAAAATTCATAGTCAGACCAAGAATTCTTTCTGCCCTGCCTGTATTAATCAAATTTCTGGATAAAAGCCCCTAAGAATTATCAAGAACTGTGGAACCATAACTTAACATTTAGTTTGAACAATAATTATGACCTGAAAATTATGGTGCGTCTTTAAAAAATAAATAAAAGTCTTGGCATTTGTGAAGGTTTTGATCCTGTCTTTTGTTTCATATTATTTAAGCTAAGAAATCATTTCTCTCTCCAATGTGAAGAATATAGATTTTAAAATTTGGAGTAATAGCAATAACAGCCTAAAACTATGATACAATTTACAAAGTTACACAAAAATAATTTCAAAAAAAATAAAAACAGTCAACTGATTTTGTAAATCTCATGGGCACTCCTTGGTGTTTGGGAATTAGACTATCAAGTTCAGATGACCTGCTCTTGGCACAGGTTTCAAATCTTACTTTAGTAATGACAAATTTAACACATTAGAGTACTCATTGTTTAATATGTCATTGTACCTCATGTGAGTTGTCATAATGTAAAAATCATACGGCTAGCTCACCCAGAGTATGACATGGTTAGATTTATTTTCCCAGAGCCCATGCTCAATGTACATTTCTAATGACCATCAGCAAACATTTGTGAGATTTAAAGCCAGATCTTTGAAATGAACTTTGGCCTGAGAATAAACTGAAACTCAGTAGTCTGTTGGAGAGAACTAACCCACGAATACATTCTCACCATAGACTTGAAACAAGCAGTAAGGAGAGTGCAAGACTTTTGAAAACAGTTTCTTCTTTTTTTACTTTTTACTTTCTATTTTTTACTCTATTTGTTACAATATCTCAGTAACTATTTTCAAAATCTAAGTATTGTTTGAAATCTTAATACTCTGACACATTTTATTTGTTCCAGATTTAGTAATCTAATTTTGCAAATTATCACTTTTTCTTATATTAGTTAAATGTGCCAACCAAATATGAAACAATTGAATATAAGAAACAGATCATTGAAAAGTAAAATGTGAGAAGAACCTTTGTAAAGTGGAGTCTATCAAGCAGAAAATGTCACAAATTATTTATTAGTTTGATTATTAAACCTAAAAGGCTGAAAATAATTTATTTGTTTTATTAACTAAATTAATATTTTTATTTTTATATTCTTCCATATTGTGGTTCTTAAAACATTTGTAATTGTTTCTGACTTCTAAAATTATCTTTAAAGAGCCATAACAATTACCAAAAATTACTTAAAATATACTACTATGTGTATCATGACCTTTGAAGCTTAAAATTTCACTTTTGCAAGCTCAATCTTTCAAAAAATTGATATAATTTGACTCTATATATGTGTAAAATGAGATTCTTTGTTTCAAAGCATATCATAATAACTTCTGGAGCTTAGCAGTATTTTTGCATGTTCTTGGTGTATCCTTGTACAGCTTAGGTAAAGAGTTAAACATTCAGTATAGGAAGATAAAATAAGCAACACATTCATTTTAAAAAACTAATATATAAATAGATTTTTAAAGTAACGTCAAAAGCAAGAACAACTTGGGGGGTAGTGTTTGGCCTACGGCCCAAGGTGCTAAATGGTACTCACCTTCCACAACTGTCTAGCTCTCAATTTTTTAAAAAATAAGAACAATGTTAAATATCATCTTAAGCATTCAGTCAAAAGTTTCGAAACCTAGTAAGCCAAATGCAGGTATGACTGTGGATCTATTACTATATTAAAAGGAATATGATATGAAGTTAAATATAGTTGGTGTTGTGTTTTAAAACCTTGACAAAATTGAGATTCTTTTCCTTTGGGGAGTCACAACATTGTAAACAATCACCTAAAGAAAGCATAAAAAGCCATCAGTTATTTATTTCAGGAAGTAGAAAGACATATCGCAAACAATCCCCAAGAAGTACAAAAATTAGATACATTTTTAACTCATTTTTTTAAAGGAAAAGATTACAGACTAATGAATCAGATCTAAGAACTGTAAAGCATGATTTAGGAAGCATAATTTCCTCAGAATTTCAATGAAAAGAAATAAAAACAAAAGATTCACATAATAAATTTTTGCTGAAGTATTTATTATGTACTTAAAAGTATGTTTAGTGTGTCCAGGGTTATGCCATAGCGGATAAGGCACACCAGAATTGAATTCAATTGCTAGTTTATATCCAAGTGTTCCACATCTGATTCATCTCCCTGTTAGAGGCCTGGGAAAAGCAGAGGCTGGCTACAGTATGTTAGCCCCTGCCACCCACCTGGGAGACCTGAAGGAAGCTCTTAGGTCCTGCTTCTGCCTGGCCAAGTCCTGGCCAATATGGCCATCTAGTGAATGAACCAGCAGACTGAACATCTCTCTCCATTTCTCTCTCTAACTCTTTAAAATATAAATAAATAAATATTTTTAAAAAGTGTTAGTATATATATATATGCTATATAGTATATATATACTATATACTATATATGTATATTTCCACCAGTTAAGGAGAGAAAAATAGTAAGCAGCTCAATAACTTACTATGAGTAAGTGGAGAAAAATCAGGATAGATTTTAGAAGATCTGCTTTGTCATATATTCCAGTAATCTGCAATTACAAGCTAGCTTAGCCCAAGTACTCCATTCCTGTGACTACTTCTGAAAACTTAGGATCTTTATCTTACTCTGCTATATTTCTTCTATATAATGGTTTCTTAGATAAAGAAGATAATATGTGAATTAGATTTTTAAGAAAAGTCTGTTGCAAGCCTCCCTATTTTCAAGATCTTAATGATTTTTAAAATGCTCCAGTTTTACTTTTATGGATCATATTTTAGATAGAGTTCCTCACATCATACAAATATAGCAAAGAAAAGATGAGTGAATCTGATTTTTTCCCCCTCTCTGAATATATACTCTTTGATGCCAGGATTTGCTAGACAAAGCAGGTAGAAGGGAGTTAGGATCACTGAAAGGTGAGCTTCCTGCTGTGCTTACCGGAAGGGTGAGCAGTGTGCTCCCTGCAGCTCCTCACGCCCAGTAGGCTCATAGGCCCGCTCTCTTTGAAGGGCACCTGCTGGAAGGCTTTGCAGCCACCAATATTTATGCACAAAACACACCTCTTGTGGCTGCATTAACCTGTGTCCTTTCACAACCCCAGAGTGCTGCCAACAAAGCGATTACTGGAGCTCACCAGAGGATTGGCTCCAAGTGGGTGACTGAGTTTTGTGCCAGCCTGACTGTGACCTCGGAGGGACAATGCGAACTAATCTCACAAAGATAAAGGTGTGGAAGAAGGAAACAAAGCAAAGAGGGAAATAAAAAGGAGAAGAGCTGGGGAAAGGAGACAAGAAGGAGAAAATTTAGTTCTAATCCAATGATTGCTCACAAGTTACCTGGCATTATTGTCAAATCCTAGCAATGAATTTGTTAATTGCTAGTGAGAGGCATGCCAGCTGTCTGCTCTTTGAGGCCACGCACAAGTCAGTGAGTGCTTTTCTTTTGTACTGCAGTTCTGTAAATCTATAGCCTTCCTAATAAACGTTATAAAAGAATCAATGACATTTAAAAAAAAAAAATTTGTTTCAACACAACACAACCAGTTGAAAAAAAAACATCATTCACTATGTGTTTTCATGACTACTAGAGAAACTGATAATTGTATCATCCACCAAAAAAATAACATTTCCATGGAGGAAGGACATAAAGACTTTTAAACAAAGACATTTACAAATTGGAATCAACTTATTAATATTAAATAAATCAACTGCTAAAACTAGCCCTTGGATGCCAGTGTGTCATGACCCCTGATGGCCCCATTGTCTGTAGATTCCCTGTGGAAGAAGAGTTGGGCTGTGTGGGAGAGAGGATACCAGGGGAGAGTTTGACAGGTGTGGAATGACTTTTCAGGGACCACAACAGTATGTGCATTGGCTGGCTCAGGTAATGCACTGAATCTGACCCTGCACCAGCTGGGGCACACAAGAGTGAAGTCTGAGGTCTTCTCAGCAGAGGTTTCTTTGGGGACTCTAACTAGACCACTGGGCTCAAACCCTGGCTACAGGGGAAATCACAAGACACATGGTCCGACCTTGGAGCACATGTGTCGGGACTGGGCCTCCTCAGGAGCTCTTGCTTATGCAGTGGAAAAACATACACAGAAGAACACACCGGTCATGACAGCCAGCTCATCTGCCCATTTAGGCCAGCAGGGGACACTGACTGCTTCCTCAGAGGACAGAGAATGAAGCAGGACAGATACTCTCCTGGACAAGATTTGCAGCAAGTGTCTTGATCGGTAGAGGCAGTAAGGTAGACACTGTCAACCAACAGGCCTTGAAATGATTAATTCAACCCTGGAGCAATGAAACCAGCAACTCAAAACCAAGTCCACTCAAGTAACACTCTTGAACACGCTTCCCCACAACGGGGTCTTTATGGTGTATCATCAAAGAGCCATCTCCCACCCCCGGGTGCTGATACAGTTTGATAGCAAAGAATGATCTTCTCTCTTACCCCCACCTCCAGATATAAGGAATGAAAAAAAAAAAAAGAAACATTTCTCCTATCCACTTTCCTCCATATCTCAACACTCTGCCCGCTAATCTGAGG